CCCTCTCAAAGGAAAGGAAAATGGAAGGTATGAAAAAACCATATGTGCCTGAGAAATTTCCTTTAAAGCCCTGAAAATGCTTGTGTGCACTAAGATCACAAGGCTGTTCATTATGCAGATTTAAAGGCCTATAAACAGCTGGTAGCCCTGTCACTGAAGTAATTACATTACGGTTTTGGAGATTTAAATCCAGTTATTTGAACATTGTTTCTATTCAGTTCGTCACAGTGGGATCTCTAATTTGTTCGACATAGTCAACAGGCGAGTAGTCTATCTTGGACTAATTAGCACTCTCCTAATGCAGCAGCACACATTACACAGCACAAAGGCGAGTGTGAGAGCTGCAGGTTCTCTGCCTTCAAAGTGCTCTTGTGACACTAAAACCTCCTGCAGGATGAACACTTTCTTTTTGTTAAGATTACTTTCAGGGCTTCATAAGATCCTGCCCATGACTTACAACTGAAACTGGTAAACAACTTGGGGGGTTTTGGATGAGGGGGTAAATGGGAACTGCACAGATGTTGGTATTTATATGGAAATTATGTCGAATGCCAATTATTTCTTTGTCCTTACAAGAAACTAAAAGTGTAACAACACCACTACACTGTCAAAACATTGGAAACCCATCCTAGCTAATAATGTTATCAGTAAAGACATGTAGGTCTGAAAGAATAATCTCAGGTGGAGAAGTATCTCTGATGGTCGATGCTCTTTTTTTCTGGGTGAAAACTACTTTATTGAAATAAAAGCTGTGAGCCCAAAGTGAAGCACAGGTAAGAAGCTTATTTCAGAGAGATATAATTGCAGCAAACTTGTTAAGTGCAGAGGGAAACACCTCAGGCTGTGGTTTAACCCCCATTTACATCTGCACAACAGCAGGCTGCCTCCCAAAGGGACAATCCCATCTCTCCTGTGCTGCCTTCCCTCATGGGCACGGATGTGCATGTGGGGAATGGCCTTGGGTGATGGAAAACTAATTGGGTAACTAATGTTACTGCCAGTGCTTGTGGCGAGTGTGCTGCAGTGACCGGCTCTGTGAGCACCTCGGGGCTGTACAGACACACGCTGCTCCTGCCCAGCCACAAATGTGCTTATAATCCATCCCTGGGGTCACTGTGATGGTGTCAGTGGAAATTGAACTCATCAGCCAACTTGCTCTTATGAAAAAGACCGTTTGAAAGCGTACGAGGGCGTGCTGGCAATGAGCTGTGTGAACCTCAGAGCCTCAGCCCTCTACCTCCACAAATCCCAAAGACATCAGGAAAGAGGAAAATCAAGAAAGTTTGAAAACTATCAGAGTGAAAACAGCAACCACAAGATCACACCCCGAAGCCTAGAGTTGCCGTCAGGACAGTAGTGTATACTTAAGCAAGTTTCCAGGTCATCATTTTACTCTCCTGGGTTCTTAATTTCAAGTGTTTGTGGAAGAGCTGCCTGCTTCCCGAGACCAAAGAACCTGAGGGCAGGCTGTGGCTGGGAGAGATTTCATAAGACTATCATGGAAAACAGGAGAACCAGCAAATAAAATACCAGTGGCTATGGGCATGTGGAAAAGCAACTGTCCTGTGTGTACAGAACTGCCCAGTTACCTTGACTTCTAATGATGACTGAGGTCTAGTAGCTGTTTTGGCCTTTACAGGTGGCTGCAAGAGACATAAGCTTATATAGGGAGGACATAGGGCAAGTCTCTGCCTTCTGCCCAGGGCACCCAGAACAACTGGACCATACTTATCCTGTAACGGTTATGATAACACAACACTGAGCCTCAGCCACAGCTTCTGTTCCTGGCTTTGGTGTCACAGTCATCTGCTCCTGGACCACAACTGACTCAGCCGTGTACAACCAGAGATGGAGGTGGCATTCAGGACTTACTCTGTTTGGACAGTATCTAAAAGGGTTGACAAGAAACCTGAAGAGGGGCTTTGGACAAGGGTCTGTAGGGACAGGACAAGGGGAATGGTTCTGACCTGCAAAAGGGTAGATTGAGATGAGCTCTTGGGCAGAAGCTCTTCCCTGTGAGGGTGCTGAGGTGCTGGCACAGGGTGCCCAGAGAAGCTGTGGCTGCCCCATCCCTGGCAGTGTTCAAGGCCAGGTTGGACACAGGGGCTTGGAGCAACCTGCTCTAGTGGAAGGTGTCCTTGCGCAGGGCAGGGGTTGGGGCTGGAGGAGCTTTAAGGTCCCTTCCAACACAAACCATTCCAGGATTCCATGACATACAGACACGCTGTAGGACGATATTTTTCCTCTTCTGGCCACTCTGTCCCCTGAATAAACCCCAGGCTCTTTACCACTTGTAAAGCTGGCTTTGAAATACAGAGTCATAGATAAACCCTGCCATGTTTCCTTCGCTCAACCAGCTTTGGCTGTCAGGCAGCTTTTGGTGTCATCTGTGCATGGGTGCTGTACGTGAGCAGGCTGGGAGCTCTCTTTGGGAAGGTACAGTCTCATTACACCCATAAAAATGGGTGCCAGGGGAGGCGATGCTGCTCTCCTCCCTCACCATCTTCCTCCTTCCCTCCTGCCTCCTCTGTGCCAGCTCATCTGATCACACCACTGTTTGATGAGCTGGACCAGTCATTTGATCTCAACCTCAAAGAGGGAAACCTAAGAAAAAATAACTAAAAATGTAAGAAAAAGTAACTTAAAACAGCTAAAAAGCAACTCCTGCTATATCAGCTCACTGATCCAGCTGAAATATGGGGGCACGAATGGGCGACGTGCAGCGACAGAGCAGGCGGTGACACTGCTGCTTGCACCCACAGCCTGCCCTGCTCCAGGTTGTAATATGAAGTGGCATCCTTAAATCACTGGGATTTTGACGTCCACTTCCCATCTCAGAGAATGGAGCTGTGCTTGCACCCCTACCTGGAGTACAGCTGCATTTATTTTCTTCCATTTTCCTTTTGTTTTCTAAAACATGACACAAAGACCTTTGTTGCTGTAAAAGCACATTTTACGTGCTAAAATGGCTTTTCCAGAGAATACAGTATAATGATCATAACAAAGGAAGGGACAGAGAGGCTGTGACCTGGTGGGATGGGGATGTCATCAGCAGGGACATCAGAAGAACACAGACATCCTTGGTGACCATGAGGGAGAAGCCCTTGTCTCTTCTGCAAGAAGGGTGGCAGATAGAAAAGCTTGGGAGCATGGGTAGGAAAACAAGATCCTCCACTCTGGGCCTCATTAATGATACTAATCCTTCTGCACAATAGCGTCCACCAGGAGAAGTCCTAAAATACCAACTGTCAGGACTCAGAGCAAATTAAATATGCTCAGTACACTCCTACACAGCCCTCTAACTGCAGCCTACACAGTTGTGCTTTGTTGGGGTCTAGGATTTCTAATATTAATCAGAGTTATGCTTAAAGTGACACCTCTGTCATTATAAAAATATTAAGATCTCACAAACAGAAAATTACAGGAGGGCAGATGAGTTACAGAAACTAAAGATTCACATTAGACAAGTTTCTCTTTAATGACTAACTGCTGAAAGAGGGAAATAGTAATTTACTTGAATAATTAATTAATATATTTCAATATTATGCTTTTATTGCTCATTAAGCAAGCATAAAGATTAATCTTCAATTATACTTTCAGGAGAAATAGGTTCAACCCTTTTTTTCGTTTTATAATGTATTTGTAGAATGGTTTGAGGGACTTTTGAAGCCAAACAAACGAAGGGGGATATACTGGCCATTTGATATATGACAAACTCCTGGCCTGTGCCACTGGTGGGAGAGCTTCCTGGTGCTGGCGCAGAGCCCCAACACTGCAGGACATTGTGGCCGTGAGACATCTCAATCCAGGTAAATTAACTTGGATAATGGAAGCGGGGAATGGATTTTATTGAGTCTTCAAAATACAATTTGTGTTTTGTGCTTTGTTTACTTATGTTTATTTAGTTCTTACTATGAAAACCCATTTCCTATCCGACGAAAGGTAGACTCTGCCATACCACAACAAACAGCCCAGCTGTAGCAGAAGCAGTTGGTACGCTGCAACACAAAGCAGGAAAAGAGCCCAAGACTAGACCCAGCTTTCCAGCACCCAATCTCACCCCTCAGGGACCAAAAAGCAAATATGTTTCCCAGTGCTGAGGACATCAAAGATTTCCTTTTCTGCTTCTTCCAGGTGGCCCATCTCATTTACTTTTCAGCAGAATAACATAGCTTCAAACAGCCACAGATTTAAAACCGAAGTGTAAAGAGCAATGCAAATCAATCAAATCAATCTTTTTCTTTAGTCAACTGAATTAAGTAACAGCCAGATGTCAATTAAAATAAATTAAAAAAAAAAAAAAGGAAAGAAAACCAAAAGTAGTTTATTTAACATCTTGTGCTTAGATAATATTTACAGAGGTGCTATTGGGAGGGAGCTGCGAGGCAGCTTCTCAGAGAGAACTGTTTTACTTGCTGGATATTGAGTCTGTTTACCACTAGGGTAATAAACCAACCTAATCAACTTGAATGAGGAAGTCACAGGGTTTAGATGCATTGATTTAGCAGCCTTGCACACAGCTCTGGGCAGACAAGTGTTCTTTCACGGCCAGCTCACTGCTGAGGGCTCCCTGAGTCAAGTGGCAAGTCCACACCTGAAGCTGCTGAGAAAACCAGACTGGGACTCCTACTCCCAAATCCCACCCATCCCTTTACCTGTCACTTCTGTCATCATAACTGGTCCTTCTGTGAGCTGTATGAAATGCTATTTGTTGCTATCACCTTTACAACTAGCAGCAACTTGCACCATGCTGAACACAACTGCGTGTGACAATGACAGAAAGTCACCAAGGAGATCTCCTTCCACTGCTACAGAAAACATCACCACTAACCCATCTTTGTGCTTCAGAAACTTTCTGCTTTAAGTATTAGGACAGATGCTGAGCACTGGCAGGGTGCAATAGGAGCATGTTTTGTCACAAAGTTAACATGGAAACACAATAAATGTGTCAAGATTTGAAAGACAGCTACAGACCTGCTGCTGGTCACAATCCAACTTACCACTGAGAGGGTGAGGAACAGTGAACTGCTTTCTTCTGCTCGGAGTGGATGTTGAGGCAGACTTGCGAAGGGGCTCCCCTTGGTTGGTTGCAGGAGCTTCTCTCTGCTGGGCTTTCCTGAGCTGGACCATTTGTTCAAGTCTCTTCAGCCTTTCTTGTGAACGACAGATGAACTGAGGCTTGTGGATTTCTAGTGCTTCCTACACAGAACCATAGCATCATCTAAGTTGGAAAAGACCTTTAAGATTATCACGTCCATGAAACAGAGAAACTGCATCATTTAAAAGAATTAAAAGGAAGAGAAGTGTGATATGCGTCTAACTGGCTTCAGTCAGAGATTAACAACGAAAGTGATTGCTCGTCTGTACAAAAGCTAGCAAACTGCCTTTCCATCTGTCTTTACTTCCTTTCACAGTCAGAAAGCTGCCTTGGTGTGACATTACCACATCAGACAAAGGAGAACCTTTGAAAAACCCCCAATTTCCAGAAAACACATTTGAATTACATGTTTTTGACTTACATATTTTTATATGTAATATGTCATATTGTTATATGTTTATACGTTTTGAGTTACACATTTTTCTAAGTTATCCAAATCCAAGTTCTTGATGTTTTGCCTATTTCCTTGTCTCACCCCATCGCCAAAGCAGCTTGTCACTGACAGTTCACAAGCTTTCCGGTTTATTTAAATCGTCATGCAGATCTATTCACGGATGAGCCAGCAGGAAAACGCTTTCCAGTCAAAGGCTGCTTCAACATTTAGGAATGTCTTAGGACAGAAGAGTGGAGTGGAGACTGGTCTTTAACATGCGCCAGAGGAGAAGGCAGGAAAGCACGTCTGGGGCTTGGTATCAACCCAGGGTCATGTCCACACACGTGGTGGCCACTCATGAAAACTGGCAGTTTCAAGGTACAATTTCAAAAGTGTCTTTGGAAAATTTGTAAATCCTGAATTTTTAACGTGTTCCTCTGCAGGAATGGCAGCTGGGGCTTGAACGGGGAGCTTTGGAAACCAAACAACCAAGGAAGTCTTGGCTTCCTCAACATAAGGAGGACATGGAGCTGTTGGAGCAAGTCCAGAGGAGGCCAAGAAGATGATCAGGGGCTGGAGCAGCTCCCATATGAAGACAGGATGAGAACATCGGGGCTGTTCAGCCTGGAGAAGAGAAGCTGCTGGAGACCTCAGAGCAGCTCCCAGTGTCTGAAGGGGGCTACAAGGATGCTGGAGGGGGACTCTTTGTTAGGGACTGTAGTGATAGGACAAGGCTTAATGGGTTCACACTGAAACAGGGGAAGTCCAGGTTAGATATAAGGCAGAAGCTCTTCCCTGTGAGGGTGCTGAGGCGCTGGCACAGGGTGCCCAGAGAAGCTGTGGCTGCCCCATCCCTGGCAGTGTTCAAGGCCAGGTTGGACACAGGGGCTTGGAGCAACCTGCTCTAGTGGAAGGTGTCCCTGCCCGGGGCAGGGGTTGGAACTGGATGAGCTTTAATGTCCTTTCCAACCCTAACTATTCTACGATTCCATGATTCTTCCCTCAGCCACGTCCCAGGAAACAAACACCATCCATAAAAACAAAAGGGAAAAAAAAAAAAGGAAAAATAATAATAATTACAAAATCAATCCCCATATTAACAACAACAATACCAACAAATGGGTATTTACCCGCAGTGTCCGTGGGGCTGCTGGATGTTTCTCAGCCTGGGAGCTGGTTTCTGGCCGGGTGAGTGCGTTGCTTTTCCCATGAGCAACATCTGGGGAGTGAGCCATGGACAGCGTTCCCCTGCTGGCTCCCTCCCGCTCGTCCTCCTCTTCACGCTCCTTCAGTTTGTCACTTGAACCACAGAATTCATAATCGCCTTGGAGAGATTTAAAAGTTCATTAAGAGTGCATGGTTAATTTTTTATTGGGTTCTCCACCTCATTACACAGAGAGGGCAATTTCTGAAATAAGAATGCCAAGGTATTATTAATAGGCCTCATTAAGCAGAATAGATCAAATCTAATCATAGGTGCTGCTCGCTGCCCTGTGACACCCAGAGTATCTTTCACATTAAGCCAGACATGGCATCGAAGCATAATTAAACCGCTCGGGTGTTTAGCTCCATTTGCTGGTATTTGCTTCCCAAAAGTAAGATGCTCCTGCGGCACAGTTGCATCCTGGAAAGCAAGGGACGTCATGCTGCAACCTGCAGTTTGAGTTCATTACGATTTATTACACGTACTGTAGGAAATAACATGTTGTTATGGACCTTAATCACATATCATTTCTTTTTGACCGTACTTTCATAAACACTACTCTCATTTTGATCTTTGTTGATAATACAGTTTGCTTCCTATCATTTCTATATATTCATTACCCAGTAGAAAGACCCCATGAAACAAATAATAAGCAAAAGGTTAATGTGCATTATAGCATATTATTATGAAAGTTGTCAATTCACATTGAGAAAAAAAGATACTAATTTCTACACTTACAATTATGCTTTAATGCTCTGAGACTGATAGTCCTTCACAAATTAGGACCAAAAGAGGCAAAAATCAGATCTGACAAGACTGCATATAGAGGACAGAATTAATCCAAAATAACAAAAAACTTCGGAAGAGCTCCATCTGAACTCTTTTGAAAAGTCACACTGGAGTACGCCTTCCTTGCCAAATAATTTGATTTCTAGAACTAAATATCTGGGAATAAAGCCCATTACTGTTTTATTTCAATTTTTGGTTACAATAAACTTAAAATATTTTCCTCTTTATGACATATTGTACATATTATATTGTACTTAAAAAACATATTAAAATGATCTGTGTTGGGTACATTTGCCTTATAAAAGCCTGAACTGTATTTCCTCCCTAATACTGTTCTTGTTAATATTTTGGGGAAAAAACCCAAAACCCTTGAATCCTGTGAACATGAAATTAAACTCCTCGATAAACCAGCTTTACAGAGGTGCTGATTAACTTTATCTTTGATAGATCTCAGCGGATGCTTCGCTCTTGTAAATCTAAGTCACTTCCAGTTAGGGAAATGGCATGATTTAACTCTAGGCACTGAAAGCAGAACGTAGGCTTCTCTCATTTAAAGAGGTCATATATTCAGTAGCTCTGTAGTCAATAATGAAGAAGTTTTGCCTACCTGCTTGCAAAAGTATCTGTAAGAAAAAGCACTCTAAGAAGAAAAGCATTTTTAAGGTAATCTTGGAGTAAATTTCTTACAAACCTATTATACGAAAGCCAAATTAATCTACAGTATATCTCAGTTGTCTCCTGGAAAAATACCTTATGCATAAATACAGCTGCTCGTGTCATCTTCATTTTAGCTCTATGAATAATGCTGGAAGTAAGACATCCCACCTGGTGCTGAACTACAAGAAATTGCATTTTACATGCTGAAACCTTGTTGATAATCATAGTTTAGGCTGTTGTGTCAAAAAAGAGAAAGATTGAAGAAGTGAAAGAAAGGTATCAGAAGAAGGTTGTGAAAATAACCTCACTCCTGGTGTGTTCGGTTGGGCTGGGACTGCCTGGCTCTGCAATTCTAATGCTTTTTCAAGATTGTCTCGAATCTGCTTACAAAGTAAGCCTATCGTTCTCATTTTAATCTTGTTTTCTATTAGCCATAGCAATGTATACAGTCAGATTAGTTGATTGATCTCTCACCAGATGACTCATGCTCAGCACTTAAAGCTGGACTAAAATGGACTGAATTTCCATTATTTCACTTTTTTTTTCGTTGAGTCTGATCTCATCTTATTATTGAAACCATATTCCTAACAACCACAGTAGGATTTGTACCTTACTTTTTAGGAGCTGGTTTTCCCTATGAACGTTTTCTTCCAGGAAGGTTCTTGACGAAGCTGTTATATTGCACAAGCTTCTGGAGACAGAGATTTTTGGTTTCGGGATGCTCTGTGCTTGGATCTCTTTGGATCTGGAGGTGCCTTTGGAGGAATCTCTCTTTCTCAATGCGCCATCACTAGCAACAGCAACTGCCTTTCTGGATGCTGTATCTGGAAGAGAGCCAGGGTCCGTTGCACTGCTCCAGGCTGTGGTGCGCTGATTCTTCTTGCTTCCCGACAGCATTTGTGTTCCTGTGACAAACAGGAAAAAAACCCAAATTCTATAACATGAGAACATTTTCCTTTCAGCCCTCTAGTCCTCGTAATTTCTATTTCCTATAAAACTGCTTTCAGTATCATATTCTGGAAGTTGTGATAGAAATTGTATCATGACTGTCATGCAGCTGTACTGCTACAAAAGAAATAAGAGGAAAATCTTTATAAAAATACACTGCCATTTAAAATAATATATATACAGTGTGATGAGCAGCATGGAAGGAATCAAGATACCCTACAAAAAGATTCCTATTTGTCTTCATCTTGTCTCTTATTCACTTAAGAGAAACATTTTAGATCGGTTAGATCTGGTCAAAATTGTAGTTACGGATTCAGTGGTGGCTGTGATGAAAACTGAGGTCCAAGAGGTTTTGGGATCAGGGTTTTAACCTGGCTGTAATTTAGTGGCTGTCTCAGAAGCATCTCCTATATCCAACATTTCTAGTGCCCTGTTCTACCTCTGTGCACAGCTGCAGCATAAACCAGCAGCAGAAGAGTTCGATTGTACAGGACATGCTTTCCCATGAAATTTTTTGATAAGAAGGATGTTGCACAGCCCCTACAACTGCAGGACCCTGCCATGTCAAAAGTGACAGACCTAGTTGGCCTGACCACCACTACTGCCAGCAAAACCCGGGAAAACCGAAAACCCAGGCAAATAAGCACAAGTGTCCCAATTTCCAAGGAAGGGGCATTTCAGGCAGAGTTTTGAAGTGAGAAGAGGTAGAATAGTAAACCCCCAAAATATCAGAGAATGAAATCCAAAGAATTTGGGACAGCAGGGAGAAAGGAGGAGATGGGAAGTATTTCATGTCCCTATAAACCACTCAATAGTGGTCCCTGGTAGGTGGGTACCCCCATGGCCATGCACACAACATGACCCTGCTCTTTCTTTTCAATCGTGCATAAACTGCTTATTGGCAGTCCTAGGCACAGGCTGACCTAAGACCTAAAGATTTATGTAGATGGAAATGATCAATAGCTATTAAAAATCTCTGAAAGAAGGCAAGCAAGAGATTTGGGAGGTACAACAGAAAAAACCAACAACTGATTTCAGACCTAACCATAAACTCAAACTAGGCAGGGATTGTCCTGGTCTGTATTGTGGACATACACCTTTCATAAATGACTGGTGTTTCATGACAAATACTTTTTAAAAGTGGTCATATAATTCTTTTCTCTGCTGACTCATTTTCATCAGCTGCACCTCTCTGAACTCTTCTTTCCAATGTCTTAGTTGAGGGCAGATGGAAGGTTAGAGGTTGTTTTTCTCCTTTTCTCCATCCATGAGAAAGAATGAGATGGCATATCATCAAATCATAGAACAATTTGGGTTGGAAGGGACCTTCAAAACCATGTTAGACACGTCCTTATCTCCTAGTCATTAAGTAAAATTAGATCCTGCAGTGCTATGCGGGAAGTTTTCAGTTCACTTTCTTGATCCTTAATCCACTCAGAATAGATGAGAAATATTCTTTGCCACAAAATGATGATCTCCTACACATTTAGGTGATCCGAATGGCTCATGTGTCTGTATTTCAAGGCAATTAAGGTACAGCATCTAGTGTTTTTCCCTTACCACGCAGATCAGAAAGCTTTTAACATCTTAAGTTCCTTTCAGTAAGTACTTATACAGGGAGAAGGAGTTACTTTCTCAAGGGATCCTCTGGTGAGGGATCCCTGAAGACCAACATAGACATAAACCAGCCCAACCCCCCCTTTTTTTCTAATTAAATTAATTGAGATAAACCCCATCCTAAGCAATTTCACAGACAGAGAGAAAATCTGGTCAAAGCAGGGAAGTGCACATAGAGCTCCCAGATTCTAGGCTAGCATCCAATCTCACCCTATTCTCTCTGGTATGACTTATTTTTCTCCTTGCTTTTCACACATTGCAAATATTTGCCTTATCTTTTGTCAAAACTTAGCTCTCTCCTCAGATGAAAATAGTTTTGATGCAAATACTCCCAACAAACTGGATAGACTCGATTCTGCTCATACACTCAGTTGGAGCTCATGCGTATAGAGTGATCTCTTCCTTCATTCCCTGACCGATCCCATACCTGCACTTACACACTCGTTTCTACGAATGCTTTATGACATATAGAGGGGAAAAAACAGTGAGACAGATTAATGGGGTCATGGGCATCAAAGAGTCTTAGTGGGAGGAGGTGGAAACAAGCAGCACGGTAGGAGAAGATGAAAAAAGCAGCAGGTAGGATTAAGTATCTGCAGAGCGTCAGAGGAGGAAGTCTTTTCATAAAGCCAGCCAAGATGCTAGAAGGATAGAGGAGGGGAAAAAAAGAGGGGAGCTAAACCACAGAAAGAAATGGAATGGAAAACAGATTATCTCTTTAAATCATCCTTTAAATTAAAATAGTTTACTGGCCAGCAGAAATCAGAGGGGGGAAGAAAAGAAAGTGGAAAGGAGAAAAGAGTTTCTGCTCATCCAAGGCAGCATCACAGTAGGAGATAATTTGCCTTCATATCAAGAAACAGTCTGTGCAACAAATGTGTGTGTTCTGAAGCCAAACGGCTGCTTCACCAAGATTGTGGGATTGCTCAACCACTGTGGTGTCCCCAGGAGAGGCTATTTGCTGCTGGGCATTAGTATCCTAAACCACAGAATCAGTCGTGAGGGTGTTGAAAATGGGCTGCAAGGTAGCAGAATAAAACAGGGAGACCAGACTGAATGAGAGAGTTGTCTATAAGTCACATCTCTTAACATCTTAGAACATAGATCTGCACGAAAGAAAGAAGAGTTGCCTGGAGTATTCACACTCCATTTACTCCTAACTACCAAACTAGCTATTTGTGGATATTGGCTTCCAAGTGCAAGTACAGGAACCTTCAAGAACTGAGAATTAAGCCCCAGGAATTTTCTTACATTTAGTGCAAATGGAGACAGCCTTCCCTTCTGTACTGCACCCCTTCCCTGGTAAAAGAAATGCCACCAGTGGCGTTCTGCCCGTAAGGTCTGGGGAATCCCTATAAAGATGTGGATTGGAAAAGAAAGAAAAGCAAAGCATGAACAAGATTAGGAATGATGTCTAAAATTAGGAAAACGTGATGGCTGCTGCTTAGCTTTTTAGGCCAACAAAAGGATGACTGAGAAAGAATTTGAAAAGCAAGATTCCTTATGCAATTCAGGTATAAGAATGCTGCATCCTTTCTGCATGAAACGTGTCTTCCTTGATCTTGTACTAACATTAAAATTAAACCTTAATCCTTATTAGATTCACAGTATGGTGGGGCTTTTTTTCTGGCAGTTAATTAAGGCAGTAAGAAAAGGTGCACCTTGTTCTTGTCTAACATCGGAGGCAATCAGAATAATAACAGAGCCAATTTGCTGAATTCTTTGCTCTAACTCCCTCTGGAATTAACCTTTCCATTCAAAAGGTACACCCAGGCACAGCCAGTCCCCAGGAAAACACAGCAAAGCAAAGCAGACATGGGTACCAAAGATCAACTCCCTCATCCTCAAAGCAGCTGTCAATTACCTTAACTAAGGAATGCAGATGCAAATGATGTATAGGAAAAAAAAGGCAAAGGTACTTAAAGCCAGGATCACAGAGTTTCACTCTGTACATTTGAGATCACTTTTAATACACTATGTGGGGAATTAGGACTGTTACTCTCATTAAGGCTATCTGGAATTGTATATCTAAATCCCCACGCACCAAACTTGAAATATATATGCCCCTCTGAGATTAGCTAGAATTGCAACTGGATGACTAGCAATATATGTTTTTTCTATTACCCCAGCTGAAGAAAGACTTTAACACTAATGAACAAAGACATGCAAGTGTAATGCTTTGGGAGATATGGGAGAACCAAACTCAAAGAAACAGAAAGCAGAATGATTCCATTAATAAAATTCAGTGAATGCAGATCCTAGTTGTAAAAGTTCAACTGCTTATAGGAGCAAAAGGAACAAAATCAACATTATGTTGGGAGAAAAGTCATTTTTGCCCTATGCAAGGAAGAGGATGACAACAATTTGAGTTTTAAATAATGACTTAGTGAAAACCATATGATATTGGAGGAGTTAAAACTATTCTGTAAAACCAAGGGTAGGTTTTCAAAAGCTCTTTTTTTGTAAAGAATCCTTGATCTCTGAGTAAAATAAGTATATTGTTTTACTGTAAAGTATCTTTTTACATTTTCCTCCCTCTCCCTTCAGGGGGTTTTGCTAACAGGAAGTGACCCTGCATTACAGCAGGTTAAACTTGCCTTTCCTTGAAAGACGCACAGTTCAGGCGAACATACCCTTTTCCATTGTTACTGCTTTTTTCCCCCCCTTTCAATTTACAACAGGATAATGCAGCTTTTCATACTTTCACATAACCCTCTTCCCCGTGTTTCAGTGTGGACTTCTGATGATTCATAACAAAGTGCTGCTTTGAAATTGGCCAAAGCTCATTTTAACATGAGCAGTGCTACAAATCCTCCCCGACCACCAAGCAAGCCTGACAAGAGGGGGCCAGGGAAGGAGACACGGAGCATTGATTCACTGTGTGTTGTTAATGGGATCAGACATCGCCACTGTAGGTAGGTTTTACATTATAGACCACCTGCAGGGTGTTTTTTATAATTTAATGTAATAAAAGCCCTATGCCTGGGCTGCTGAGCTCTTCCAGACCTCTGTGATGAGAACTGATGCTGCTTATACCACAAGCAGAGAGGAGCAGAAATTAATGTTCCTTAAATGTAAGCAACTTCTACCTTAGAATCATAGAACCCCAGACTGGTTTGTGTTGGAAGGGACCTCAAAGCTCTCCCAGTTCGAATCCCCTGCCACGGGCAGGGACACCTTCCACTAGAGCAGGTTGCTCCAAGCCCCTGTGTCCAACCTGGCCTTGAACACTGCCAGGGATGGGGCAGCCACAGCTTCTCTGGGCACCCTGTGCCAGCGCCTCAGCACCCTCACAGGGAAGAGCTTCTGCCTCAGAGCTCATCTCAATCCCCCCTCTGGC